CATGCTGCATCAAATTTCCTCCTAATTTTGTAACTGTACCAGTATATCTGTGTCGTCTCTGTTTCATAGATGGGGCAGCTGGGGGCTGGAGGTGATGAAATGACATGTGTAAGATCACAGATGGTCATCAAAGCAAGTTCTACAGCCCAGCCACTGGGGGAGTTTCTCTCCAGTACAGCATGAAGCCGGGATTCTAGTTCAGCAGCCCTTGCTGCACGCTGCCATATGCCAGACCTTGTCTAGGAGACAGCGCTGTAGAGCTTCTTTGGGCCTGGTCCCTGCCCTGGGGCAGCTTACATTCCAGGATTGTTTGCACACGATGCAGTCAGTGCTATGATAAAGCTAGGCACAGAGGAAAGGCAGTTGACCCTGCCCATGGGGTCAAGATGAGTTTCTGAGCAAAACTCTAAAGGATAAGGAGGAGTTAGCCTAAGAAGAGGGCAGGCAGGGCCTGCCAGTCAGAGGGATGAGCAGGCATCCAAGCACAGAGGCACAAGGGATTTGGTACCACCAGCGTGTCAAGTGGGTGGTGGGAAGTGGCTGCAGAAGTGTCTCTGTGAGTGTCGTGTGCATGGGGTCCAGTGAGGAGCTCCTGGATCCCACGTTATACAGACCATGGACTTGGTTCTTTTTTTTTGAGACGGATTCTTGCTCTGTTGCCAGGCTGGAGTGCAGTGGTGCAATCTCGGCTCATTGCAACCTCCGCCCCCTAGGTTCGAGCGATTCTTTCGCCTCAGCCTCCCAAGCAGCTGGGACCACAGGCGCGTGCCACCACGCCTGGCTAATTTTTTTTTTTTTTTTGGTATTTTTAGTAGAGACGGGGTTTCACCATGTTGGCCAGGATGGTCTCAATCTCTTGACCTTGTAATCCACCCACCTCGGCCTCCCAAAGTGCTGGGATTACAGGCTTGAGCCACCGCGCCCGGCCTGGACTTGGTTCTTTAGGTCTTATCTGAAGTCCATGGAATTTCTAGGAAAACGTTAACTTTTGTGGCTTACTTTTAATGACAATATGAAAAACAAATGAGATGATTATGGTTTGGATTATCTGGGTGGCAATTTATAACCTATACTGCCAAATGATTTCAGTGTCTGCATTCGTCTTTGTGTTTGTGATCAGTTGGCACCAAGTAGTGCTGCTTTAATTGTCTCAGCTAATGAGAAAAGAACAGAGGAGGACTTAATATGTAAATAATGCCTTTGCGCCTGGAGGAGGCCAAATGTCCTCCCAGCAGGCTGAACGAACCAAGGGTTAGCACAAGTTCCAATAGAGAAAAGTGGTGGGAGAAGTGAGCCATTGCACAGCGTCCCAAACTCCGGAGACCCTGCGCTGGAGCTCTCCATTCCACATCACGTTTTGGGCAGCAATTAGTTTCAGCAAACATCATCTGTCACAATAAAGCCACGTTTTTATTTTAAAATGTATTGGCTTTATAGTTTCGTTTCTATTTAATTGGTAAATTGCCATTGCTTTTATAGTTTTATGTGCCATAAATATATATTTATACCTACTTTTATGTCTATATCTATTTAAATGATGTTATAGTACGTATAAATTATCATCACTGGGGGGATGGAGAGTTGTTTTTTTTTTTTTTTTTTTTCAGGGGACCCACTGAAGAGTTTTAAGTTACATGATTAGATTGGCAATTTAAACAGACCATCCTAAAAATATGAAGTGTGACTTGGACAGTGACGAGATGAGACTATCTGCAGGGCCTAAACTAGGTCAGTGTAGAGTTATCCAGGAGAAAGCAGATTTCAGAAATGTTTAGGAGGTGAAGCTGATCGGATCTGGCAACCTACCAGGTGCAGGAGGTGAGGGAGAAGACAGCGCATGGGCTGCCACCCTGGTTTCTGCTTGGGTTTAATTGGATGTATCGTGGGGTCATTAACTAGGGCAAGGAACAGAAAGGAGAGTGGAAGGCAGCACCAGAGGTTGGGATAAAGAGTTCCATTTTGGACATGCTGAGTTTGAGATGCCTATGGGACATCCAGGCAGAAATGCTCAGTGGGCATTTGGACTCATGACCTTGAAGCTTGAGCCAGAGGTTAGGGTTGGTCATACAGATCTGGGAGCAGTCAGCATGTAGGTGGTGGTTAAGGCACGGAGAGAAGCCCAAACGGAAACTCTGTAGGAACAATGTGTGGAATACACAGAGCTGTGGACCCCAAAGGCGGAGGTGCAGAGGAATGCCCAAAAATGAGGTTGAAAAGCAACAGGCGTAGGAAGGAGAGAACGGGAAGGGATGGATCTTGGCAGCTAATGGAACGAAGGGCCGTCCACCATGTCACAACCAGAGGACAAAATAAGATAAGGACAAAAATGTGGCCACTGGGTTTAGTATGATGAAAGTCACGGGAAAAACATGGAACCACTCTCCGTCCTAAGCAATCAGCACAACCTTGGAATCCTTTTCCATGTGCTTCCTAGCTTGTGTCCCAGTCAATTAACTGGAGTGGGCATAAGAGCTAACACCTGCTTGACCTTCCTTGTTTAGTGAAGGTGGGAGGGGTTATATCACTGGGTCAGGAACAACTCATTCTTGAGACTGGAAGTAAGGACTGGAGGAGGGCAACGGGGCCCTACTAGGAAGTGCAGTAGACTTTGTTTTTGTTTTGTTTTGTTTGAGATGGAATTTCACTCGTCACCCAGGCTGGGGTGCAATGGTGTGACCTCAGCTCACTGCAAACTCCGCCTCCCAGGTTCAAGCGATTCTCTTGCCTCAGCCTCCCAAGTAGCAGGGATCACAGGCATGTGCCACCATGCCCAGCTAATTTTTGTGTTTTTAGTGGAGATGAGGTTTCACCATGTTGGTCAGGCTGGTCTCGAACTCCTGACCTCAGGTGATCCACCCACCTTGGCCTCCCAAAGTGCTGGGATTACAGGCGTGAGCCACCTCGCCTCGGCAAGGAAGTGCAGTCAACTTTGGAGAGGAAGGGAGTGGGATATGGGTGGGAGAAGATTTAGAATAGACGCGGCGAGCTGACCCAGGACTAGTAAAAGGCTTTTGAGGGCCCAGATGAGGTTGGACAGGGAGGGCTTTATGGCAGCAGCAAGTCTTGCAGTTGTGAGATTTTCTCCATCAATTCACAGAAAGCCGACGGTAGGAAAAGTGACTGTGATTGACACGAAGGAGTTCATACACAGGTTTTGCTTTTCCTGATGTTCTGGAATAATTCTCCTCAAGGGCCTTTGAACCTGCAACTGAAAAATAAATGAATTGGACTGGATGATATCCCTGGCCCCATTGCTAAGTCCTGGCCGTGGTCCATGGTATCTGCACTGCGTGGGTCTCATGGGATTAGGATGTCCACAGACCCAGTCTCACTTGGTGCTTACTTTCTTCTGGCTGAAAACTCCAGGTGCTTACGGTGGCGCTCACTCAGTTTTCCCTGTGGTTGCCCTGCCTGGTCTGAGCCTCTGAAGTGTTTGGGAAAACACAATGAAATAATTACAAACAGTGAATTAGCTACAGCATTAAAATTTCAAACGAAATTACAGCTTTCTGCCCAAGTAGCCAGAGGGGAGTTCTATCGAAGTCATTTATCTTTTCAACGCTCAGTGAAATAATGGATGGCTAGTCTGGTGCTTGGAATGTTTTATATTCTCCCTTTTCCTGAAAATCTTCTGAAGAGCTCCATCTCCTTTTTGCTTCCTCTTTCTTCACCCATTCCTATTCCTCCCTCCATCCTCACCTGGCCACCATATGAATTTCAAATGTCTTTTCATTATTGTGTTAGTGAGGTCGTCCTTATTCCTAATTTTAAAACAGGAGAGGCTAAATTACAAGTATCAAATGAGCAGAGAAACGTTCGGTGGCCCTCGCCATCTATTTGAAGATGTATCAAAGAGGACAGTAATGACATAACAGTACTCCTTTTTTTTTGAGACGGAGTTTCGCTCTTGTGACCCAGGCTGGAGTGCAATGGCGCGATCTAGGCTTACCGCAACCTCCGCCTCCTGGGTTCAGGCAATTCTCCTGCCTCAGCCTCCTGAGTAGCTGGGATTACAGGCACACGCCACCATGCCCAGCTAATTTTTTGCATTTTTAGTAGAGACGGGGTTTCACCATGTTGACCAGGATTGTCTCGATCTCTTGACCTCGTGATCCACCTGCCTCGGCCTGACATAACAGTACTCTTATTGGTAAAAGTGACCAAGGGTGGGGAAAGGCCAGAGCTGCTGAGGTTCCAAGAGGACTTGTCTTTTGCTATTGGCACCAGAGGCCACCACTTGAGCAGAGACTGTGGAGCCAGATTGCTTGGGTCTGAACCCTGGCTCTGTGGCTTGCCAGGAACGTGGCCTTGAGCCAGTTATTTTACTTCTCTAGCCCTCAATTTCTTCATCTGTAAAATGGGATTAAAGGCCAAGTGTGGTGGCTCACACCTGTAATCCCACCACTTTGGGAGGCTGGGGCAGGAGGATCGCTTGAGGCCAGGAGTTTGAGATAAGCCTGAGCAACATACTAAGATACAATTCCTGCAAAAAAACCTATATTAAAAAAAAGAACGGATTATAATAGTGCAAAGCTGTTATGAGTATTGATTGAGCTAATGTGTGCAAAGCACTTAGGACAGCATGGCTCATAGTAAATGGTGCATAAATGTAACTTTCATTTTTTATTTTATTTTTTGAGACAAGCTCTTGCTCTGTCAGCCAGGCTGGAGTGCAGTGGCATGATCATGGATCACTGCAGCTTTGACCTCCTGAGCTCAAGTGATCCTCTCACCTCAGCCTCCTGAGTACAGACACACACCACTATCTCTGGCTAATTATTTTATTTTTTGTAGAAATGGGGTCTCACTATGTTACCCAGGCTAGTCTTGAACTACTGTGCTCAAGTGATCCTCCCACCTGGGCCTCCCAAAGTGTTGGGTTTATAGGTGTGAGTCACTGCATGAGGCCTAAATGTGATTTTTTATAAACGTGAAGATTTTTAAAAAATGTGACCATCTTGATCCCAGCAACCCCACCACGGCCGGTCTTCCCGGACACCATGAACCACACTGTCCAAAACTTCTTCACTCCCGCCAGCACCGACCGTCCCCCAAACTATGAGATGCTGAAGGAGGAGCATGAGGTGGCTGCGCTGGGGGTGCCCCACAACCCTGCACCCCCAACATCCACTGTGATCCACATCCGAAGCGAGACCTCCGTGCCTGACCATGTCGTCTGGTCCCTGTTCAACACCCTCTTCATGAACTCCTGCTGCCTGGGCTTCATAGCGTTCGCCTACTCCGTGAAGTCTAGGGACAGGAAGATGGTTGGCGACCTGACCGGGACCCAGGCCTACGCCTCCACCGTCAAGTGCCTGAACATCTGGGCCCTGATTTTGGGCATCATCATGACCATTCTGATGATCATCATCCCAATCCTGATTCTGCAAGCCTATCGGTAGATCCAGAGGAATCACCCGGGCCAGGGGCTCTGCCTGTGACCTGTCTGTCTCCCTGGTATCCAGATTCTATCCCTCGCCCTGCCCCCAGCCCATCCTGTATTAACCCTTTACCCTCACACACTTTTCTACAGTGGTTCAATAAAGTGCACGTGCTCCTGGAAAAAAAAAATGTGACCATCTTTTGAAGGATGTGTATCTAACGTCATTACGATGTCATTTTTTTTTTTTTTTTTTTTTTGAGATGAGGTCTCATTCTATCACTCAGGCTGGAGTGCAGTGGTACAATCATGGCTTACTGCAGCCTCAACTTCCCAGGCTCAAGCAATCCTCCCACCTCAGCCTCCAGAATAGCTGGGAAAATGTCATAATTTTCGATCCGGTAATTTCACTCCTGAGAATTTATCTCAAGGAATAATATAAGAAAAACAAAAAAGATTATAACCACAGTCAAAAGTTTCAAAACCATTTTTATTTGTAAAGCAAATAACAAGAAACGACCTAAAAGATCACCAAAAGGGTAACGGCTAAATGTATGTCGATTCAAGTGGGATATTTGCTATGGTTAACATGGTCAAGACTAGCTGCAAATACCTGGCGAAGTGTCTATTAAATAATTAGATGGAAAAAAGTGACCACAGAATTGCGTACGTGTTATGATAACTTTATAAGCACATATCACCTGGCTTTCTTCATTTTGGAATTAGAGATGACTTCTTAAGATTTATTTTTTGGCATTTTAAAGTAGGTTGATTTTAGGGTCAGATGTGGTGGCTCACACCTGTAATCCCAGCACTTTGAGAAGCCAAGACAGGAGAATCACTTGAGGTCAAGAGTTTGAGACTAGCTTGGCCAACATAGTGAAACCCCGTCTCTACTAAAAAAACAAAAATTAACCAGGTGTGATGGCGGGTGCCTGTAATCCCAGTTACTCAGGAGGCTGAGACAGAGAATTGCTTGAATGTGGGAGGTGAAGGTTGCAGTGAGCCGTGATCATGCCACTGCACTCCAGCCTGGGCAACAGAATGAGACTCCATCTCAAAAAAAAAAAAAAAAAAAAAAAAGTGGATTGATTTGATTTCTAAACAACTCCTGCAGAGCCGCCCCTCCTGGCCACTCCCCCACTCCCCAACCCATCCACCTGCAAGCTGGCTTGCCTTCTGTGCAACGTACTGACTTCTGCCAGGCTGTCTGTGTGACATGGCACAGATGAAAGTGTCTTAAGGTAGGTACTCTGCCTCTCAGCACCTGGGAGTGCAGTGTTTGGCACACAGTAGGCATTTAATTTATGTTTGTTGAACTGTATATAGTCAGTGCCTCATAACCATGTGGTTCCATAAGATTATAATGGAGCTGAAAAACTCCTGTCACCCAGTGACATTGTAGCTGTTGGAATGTCATAGTGCAACACATTCTTTACGTGTTTGTGGTGATGCTGGTGTAAAGAAACCTGTGGCACTGCCAGTCACATAAAAGCATAGAACATACAATTGTGTGCAGTACATAATACTTGGTAATGATAATAAATGGCTATGTTATTGGTTTTCATATTTACTGTACCATGCTTTTAATACTTTATACTTTTACTGTACTATAATCTTACACATTATTTTAGAGTGTACTCCCACTTATTAAAAAAAAAAATTAACTGTGAAGCAGCCTCAGGCAAGTTCTTCAGGAGGAATTCCAGAAGAAGGCATTGTTGTCACAGCAGATGACAGCTCCGTGCCTGTTATTGCCCCTGAAGACTTTCCCGTGGGACAAGAGGTGCAGGTGGAAGACAGTGGTATTGACGATCCTGACCCTGTGTGTGCGTGGCCGAAGCTTGTGTGTGCTTCTGTCTTTGTTTGTTTGCTTTTTTTGTTTTTTGTTTTTTGAGGCAGGGTCTTGCTCTGTCACCCAGGCTAGAGTGCAGTGGCGATCACAAGTGTCTGCAGCCTTGACTCCCAGCCCCAAGCTTTTCTCCCACCTCAGCCTTCCGAGTAGCTGGGATCATAGGCATACGCCACCAGGCCCAGCTAACTTTATTTTTTTGGGTAGAAGAGGGGTCTCCCCATGTTGCCCATGCTGGTCTGGAACTTGTAGGCTGAAGTGATCCTCCCACCTCGGCCTCCCAAGGTGCTGTGATTATAGGCATGAGCCACCGCTCAGGCCGTGTGCTTGTGTCTTAGTTTTTAATAAAAAAGTTTAGAAAGTAATAAATAAAAAAAGTATTTTAAAAGTAGAAAAAAGCTTATAGAATACAAATAATATCGTTACATATAAGGATATAAAGAAAAAATATTTTTGTACAGCTGTGCAGTGTATTTGTGTCTTAAGCTAAGTGTTACCACAAAAGAGTCTAAAGTTAAAAAAAATTAAAGGCTTTAAAGTAAAAAAAGTTTGGGAGGCCAAGGCAGGCCCATCAGCTGAGGTTAGGAGTTCAAGACCAGTCTGGCCAACAGGGCGAAACACCATGTCTAATAAAATACAAAAACTTTGCTGGACATGGTGGAATGTGCCTGTAATCCCAGCTACTTGGGAGGCTAAGGGACGGGGATCGCTTGAACCCAGGAGGCAGAGGTCGCAGTGAGCCGAGATCACCCTACCGCACTTTTAAATAAATGGGGTATACCTTAAGTGTACAGTGTTTATAGTCTATGATGGTGTACAGTAATATCTTCGGTCTTCACATTCATTCACCACTCGCTCACTTACCCATCCAGAGCAACCGCCAGTCCTGTAACCCCATTCAAGGCAAAATGAGCTCTACAGGGGTACCATTTTCTTTTTCTTTTCTTTTCTTTTTTTTTGAGACGGAGTTTTGCTCTTGTTGCCCAGGCTGGAGTGCAGTGGCGTGATCTCAGCTCACTGCAACCTCAGGCTTCTGGTTTCAAGCGATTCTCCTGCCTCAGCCTCCTGAGTAGCTGGGATTACAGGCACCCGCCACCACCCCTGGTTGGTTTTTGTATTTTCAGTAGAAACTGGTTTCACCATGTTGTCGAGGCTGGTCTCAAACTCCTAACCTCATGATCTGCCCTGCTCGGCCTCCCAAAGTGCTGGGATTACAGGCGTGAGCCACTGCGCCCGGGCTTTACTGTATCTTTTCTATGTTTAGATACACAAGTACTTATCATTGTGTTATAACTGCCTACGGTATTTAGCACAGGCTTGCTGTAAGGTTCGTAGTGTACGACCAATAGGCTATGCTGAGCTGAGGTGTGTGGCAGCCTGTACCATCTAGCTTTGTGTAAATATACCCTATCTTTGTTCAAAGACAAAATCACCTAACAATGCATTTTTTCAGAATGTATCTCTGTCATTAAGCAATGCGTGACTGTATGCTTTTCTATATTTAACTGGGAAGACATCCATGAAATACTGTGTTACGGAGCAGCATGTATAGTATTATCCATGTCCATGTGGGCACAATTAGGATTGTCTCAGGCAAGTCCTTCAAGAGGTATCTCAGAAGAAGGCGTTGCTATAGCAGATGACACCTCCATGCTTGTTATTGCCCCGGAAGACTTTCCCAGGGGACAAGATGTGAAACACTGAAATCTTATGTATATGAAACATGTATGGTGTTTGAATTTTTTTCTTCTCCCTGGGTCAGGGTTTTCATTAGGGAACGGAAGGGAGAGGGTGGGGATTGTCCTCACTGCCACCAACAATTCAGGACAGCAAATACTTTGCTTTTGTTTTTGTTTTTAAATCTCCAAGGCATGGTGGTTCATGCCTGTAATCCCAGCACTTTGGGAGGCTGAGGGAGCTAACCACTTGAGGCCAGGAGTTTGAGACCAGCCTGGCCAACAAGGCAAACTCCCATCTCTCCTAAAAATTTAAAACTCAGGCCGGGTGCGGTGGCTCAAGCCTGTAATCCCAGCACTTTGGGAGGCCGAGGCGGGTGGATCACGAGGTTCGAGAGATCGAGACCATCCTGGTCAACGAGGTGAAACCCCGTCTCTACTAAAAATACAAAAAATTAGCTGGGCGTGGTGGCACGTGCCTGTAATCCCAGCTACTCAGGAGGCTGAGGCAGGAGAATTGCCTGAACCCAGGAGGCAGAGGTTGCGTTGAGTGGAGATCACGCCATTGCACTCCAGCCTGGGTAACAAGAGTGAAACTCCGTCTCAAAAAAAAAAACCAAAAACCAAAAAACAAAAAACTACATCTCAAAACAAGCAAAAAACCAAACTAAACCTCTAAGACCTCTTCCACATGCTAATCAAGTGTTCTAGTGACTAGCCACCTTCCATCAAACAAGTGTGCTGCACTACCCCGAGAATACCAGCTTTATGGGAGCACATTATTAATATACATGAGGCAATTAGAGGAGGACACAAGACAAGTATGTCATCAAGTGCCACAATGCACACAGAAAGGAAAATGCTCACAACTATGCTCATAGTAGAAATCACACAGGGGCCAGGCATGGTGGCTCATGCCTGTATCCCTAATACTTTGGGAGCCCAAGGTGGGTGGATCATGAGGTCAGGAGTTCGAGACCAGCCTGGCCAACATGGAAAAATCCCATCTCTACTAAAAACACAAAAATTAGGAGGCTGAGGCAGTAGAATTGCTTGAATCAAGGAGGCCGAGGTTGCAGTAAGCCAAGACTATACCACTGCACTCCAGCCCGGACAACAGAGCAAGACTCCCATCTTGAAAAAAAAAAATCACACAGTTCGGAGCACGGTGGCTCATGCCTATAATTCCAGTACTTTGGGAGGCTGAAGTGGGGTGGGGATAGGAATCACCTGAGGTCAGGAGATCAAGATCAGCCTGGCCAACATGGCGAAACCCCATCTCTATTAAAAATACAAAAATTAGCTTGGTGTGGTGGCCCACTCCTCTAGTCCCAGCTACTCCGGAGGCTGAGGCAGTAGAATCACTTGCACTCGGGAGGTGGAGGTTGCAGTGAGCCGAGATTGCACCAATAAGCTCCAGCCTGTGAGACAAAGTGAGACTCTGTCTCAATCAATCAATCAATTAAAAAAATTAAATTAAAATCACACATGACTACATTTTAAAACTTTCTTCTTAACATATGTACTGATTTCTAAGGGATTTTTGACTCT